TCACAACTAGAGGTACACCCAGTCTACGAAAGCTTCCGTATGAAATACGTTGTGAAAGACTCGGACTCTACACACTACCCTACCGCCTAGTAAGAATTGATCTTATTATGACCCATCGAACACTACACTTGAATCACTTTCCCAAACTGCGGCCAATATTTCACCTGCGGGAACCCTGTAACACCCGAGGAGACCGCTACAAACTCACGGTTTCATGCATGAACAGGGTATCACATCAACTCCGTATGGAATGAAGAATCGTAAACTTATGGAATACACTACCAAAAGGCTAATAGAGGCCGATTCTGGGAAGAGTTTAAAACACATATCGACGATTATTTTGGAAACTTGTGCTTCTGTGAAACAGTGCACATATAATGCAAAAACATTCTATACCCTGAAATCATAACACTGGGAAAAAAGCATTTATTTATTTAACCGAACAAGTAACTGACAAAGCACTGCAGCTGACAAACCGCAATTAAATGTTTTTGATTTTTCATAATTCGATAGTTGTACAGAAACTTTTTTACTTGCTCTTAAATACAGTCTCAGTCTCTTTAGATGGGTCCTCTGTCCTAGGGGAGATCAGCTTGGCGTCGGTTACAATCTGCATAGCTAACAATGATAGTCAGATTCCATCACATATGGGCTCTCCGCATTATCTTTGGATTCGATAGAAACATGGGTGGCGAAAATCGACTAAGATCAAATGAACGCTGGTGATATTCGATGAGATGACAATCACTGACAGATAAGGAGATAAAGCTGAACAGTCTCCGTCGATCTAAAATCATGTCCTAGTGACCGGCAACCGTGTGAATTCGGTGACCTCGTTTGGGGGGCACGACAGAATAATCAAAACTAGAAGTGGCCATCATTTGGCACAGTGTCTTGATAAGAGCCAATTTATCAACTATGACAGCTTTCGAAAAGAGCCGTGAATCGTCGGGACGCAGGCGGTGGCACCTACGGTGTTTCCGACTGATTTCCCGTGCTAGGGTCACAAACGAAAGATAAGAGAGGACAAAATACATCCACACACACACACACACACAAAACGTGTTAAACGATTCAGTAAAAAGTTGAAAATGCTCTGTGCCACAAGCAAAAAGAAGTTGGTTGTGGCCAGAATCAACTCACTGGCTGTGAAAACCAGATTAACGAACTAGTGGAGTCGCATTTAACAAAGACAGCGTTGCTTATCATCTCATCCGATAGTATCCCTTTGAAGATTCTCGATGTTGAAGTTGTGGCGTTCGAATCCCAATCTGTACGCAGGTAATACACCAACATTAAATTCAACACTAATTGCATAAGGGTCAAATGGAACCCCTCTACTGTTCTAAGAGATGGTGATGGGTATAGCAAAGTGTCGCTATTAAAGCGCCTCACTACACAATAAAGAGACCGGGTTTCAACCGAGGTCAGTGAAAGCTGATGGCGGCAATGCAATGACATGAATTCAGGCATAAACAGGACATCCGCCTGTTAAGCATAACATCTACATTTCCAGGAGTATGGAACGCTTCAGTCAGTTGTCGACCAGAAGAAACATTTGACTAGCCCAAGAAAGGGTGATTTAAAAAAATTGAACTGTCACTTGTCTACTATACGTCTGCAATGAAGTGGTCATGTTCTCGTGTTGATTGCAAAGTAGCTTACTTGGATCTGCCAAAAAATTTCTACATTGACAGTCTAGCTACAAACTGTGCAACATAACATAAGTGACTACAGTCAGGTAGATATTCGTACCTCACTGATCGAAAGCAAATTTAGCAAGGATCAGTAGCGAATGCTACAGACCCGACTCTGGGTCTTTTCTGGTGCATGTATATTAAGTCAAATCAAGTCAATTATTTGCTTTATGCACACACATGAAGGATGAATATTCAGCTGTAGCACACACACGCCAAGGATATGGATAAATAATGAAAACAAATAGTACATGAGGATAAATATGAAATAGAAATCGTTAGAAAACTTGGCAAATAAAATATCACTGGGGTAGTAGTATATTAGTCACTTGTTGAATGTCTGAATTTTGTAGGGTTAAAAAACGTGACAGGAAAGGAACTAAAGATGTACCATAAGCCCTTGCGCGCGGTGGCTGGACCGTAGTCCGCTCCACACTGACTGCATGGAACCACTCTTCGAGCCTAACATGACCAGAAGGACCGTGCACCACGTCCCCTCCAGCAACGACCAACTGTCTCCTGGAGCCTGTATGAACGATGTAGTGGGTAATAGACAGGTAGGCACCTTGTCAACATGCACATCCAGCGCAGCCACCTCAGGGATGTCAAACAACAGCCAATCGCTTAAAATGACAATATCAAATAAAATATATCTGTTAAAGAATACGGCTACACCGGACATAACTCTCCCCTAAATTAGCATATGAATAAAGGTAAGTATCAACGAACCCGCGATAAGTACAAAATGTCCACAAGTCACCCAAAAAATACCACAAACACAATAAAGTTAACGAAGATAAGCGCAATGAGCGTAAGCAAGGTGGACAGTTAATAGAAGATTATTCAGGTAGGCAGAACAAAGCAAATAAAGTGGAAGGAAATTTATCCGGCTTAAAAGACCCTAGGTCTAGTTGCTTTAGCCCAACTGCGATGAAGAAGCATCATAAATGCAACATCAGCTTTCGCATAGGGCTCTCCTCCAAATATACTGGAGTAAGTACAACCCATCAGCTGTGCTTTGGACATATATATATATATATATATATATATATATATATATATATATTTGCAAAAGTCTACGAATAGACATAATGCCATCAGAAACCATGGGATTCAAACGAAAGTACAGAAATAGTAAAATAAAACACAACACAACAATGTTCATGGTTTCCTCAGAGGGCGAGTTACTACCCGGTTGCCCAAGCCGAAGTAGGGTCTTTACTTAGGGGACACCACCCCGAGCCTTTGGCTTAATAGCCTGTCCGCAAGGCAGCGGAGCGAATTCAGGGAATCGCGCCCATTGGGAGCCGGTGACTGCTTGCTCAGTTCATACGCCTTTCGTTTGTTCCTTTGTCAAACAGGGGCCCAATGCTCCCCAGAAGTACAGCATGACGTTGCTGGAATACAATGCTTCGCCAGGATGAAGCAAGGGGCAGTGACTTTATTTAGTGGCGAGTCACGTCCGCCACGTCACAGTGTTGTTAAACGGACATATGTGGCTTTTTATAGGGAGAACGCTTGCCAGGCGAAAACCCACCACGTCCTGAAACACTGCCGCCGAACCATTTGCTGGAACCGGAAAATCCCGAACCACCCAGCTGGTGCCACGAGGAGGTTGTTCGGCAAGCCAGCTTTGGATAAGACTATTATCATATCAAGCCACTGTTTGGATTCTGCTTGATAGGTCAAAGACGCACTCGCCATTTGCACAATCGGAGCTGAAGATATTTTAACGTACTGTTGTCATATATGCGTATTTCGGAGACGACACATAAGCGTATGAGAGGACGTGGTGTATACGTTGGCTAAAAGTGCAGAAATTGGAAGCCGGGTTTGGAAGACGATTTAGTTCGACTGCCTGAATATGCAACAAGGACGGTCCAGGGGTCTGACTGGTTAGCCTGGGACAAAAGCAACAGTGAAACTTGGGGCAAACAGTAACGAATCGATGAACAATCCACAGGTTTTCCACTTGTAAGTCGCAACATATGGTATTCGTGTCTTATGAAGCTGAGTCGAGATCTTAGTGTCTATCAAACTCTAGCTGAGATTCGAGGCTAGGGTGGCCAATGATCGCACTCTGACCCTGATGTGGACAGTGGCGAGACAGACTGTTTTTTCTCGAACCATCGATCGGACTGGCTCCAAAAGCCTTTGCGAATTGCTAATCAGTGTAGGTAAACGGATCTGAGTGGCGTGTAAACCACTGCACCGTGGAACTAAGGCGACGCAAACATGAGACTGAACGGTAAAATGCAAAACGGTGTGATGAGTAGATTACATGTTCCAGCCCGAGAAGCTGACTCAGGTGGTTCCACTACCGAAAGTCAAACGTCAACAAAACAACTGTGCAATCAAACAATAAACTTCACAAAGCCAGATGCAGACCGGAATGCGCAACGTAAACTTCGATTAGTTGAACCAGTGAAATCTGTGAAGACATCCACAGCACCTGCCAACAATTAGTATGAAATTTTACAGGGATGGTAAAAACAACCCCGCAGAAGGCGCAATAGGTTAGGTTGCAGCAACCCTCTGAACACGTAATATTGGACCAGCCGGTTTCCAGCAAGAGGACCGATTGGAGCTAACCTTTTGGAATGAGTATGGAAGCAAACTGGCCATTCCGGCCGAGAACGATAACACAGTCGGCGTTAATGAAGAAAAGCACACGCAGTACGGATGTCCAGCTAAAATGCAAACGGTGATAGCAGGCAGACTAAGCAGGTTTAGAGGAGCTCCTAACCAATGTGACTATCACACACAGCCAGTAGCAACAATGTCGCAATACTCACACATGTGCACTGAACTTCTGTCCGACTGCTCTTGTTATTCCAACAGCAAGTAAATCCCTTAGGTCTAGTTCATATATACGTGAACGGTTATTGGGTGAAGGCTATGTAACCACAGACAGTTTATGACCTGAGGCGAAACGAGATGGAAGAATTTTTTTCAGTGACTCAATGCAAAGAATGAGCAAAAGGACAAAGGGTCAAAAATTCCAATGACCGTAGTATATGTTGAGTAATATAGAAGGATATGAAAATCAGACTATACTTACCTTTAGTTCGTTGGCTAGACTCAAGCCCTGTTCTTCCGTAACTTGCCTTTGTTGCACGAGGTCAATTTTGTTTGCTGCCAGTATCATAGGGTAGGTTTCCCGATCTTTGGCTCGCAAAATTTGAGTGTGAAACCGCCGGACTTGGGCAAAACTCTGCGGGTCTGTCACAGAGAATACGATGATAAAACCCTGGCCTTTTCGCATATAGTGTTCTCGCATGACGCTGAATTCTTCTTGGCCGGCGGTATCTAAAACTGCAAACAGACAACAAAGGTACTAATGTCTGCAAAAAAGAATTTCATAAGTTGTTGTCAAGTAAAGGAGAACGATGAGCCTGGATAGCATTATAGACAGCCATTAGTATGGAGTGAGCATAATCGCACATCTCAATTGAATGAACAAAAACAAAGAAGAATGAACAAAAGTAAAAAAATTCTGTTTGATTTAATTTAATGTATCGCTTTAGTGTATCTTCCTTTGAGTTGCATGATTTTTGAAAGCTCCACGCCTCTCCGTAGGCTATTGCATGCATATATATATATATATATATATATATATATATATATATATATATATATATATATATCAGATGCCTGTAAGGCCGTTGACTTAAGTGAGCTTGGGTGTATGTTGAAATAAAATGCATCATTGCACATTAACTGAAGGTGAGCAACACTTTAGCTAATTGCCGCAAGATAAAAGCATATGAGGAGCGAGAAAGGAAACATCACAAAATCCAAGAAACCAAAAAGCCAGTGATACAATGCTTAGTGTTTTATTATGCACGCTTTGTGAGATCGCTCTTGAAGGGGGAAGATAAGCGGAAAGAGGAAAAAGAAACTCGTAACACAAACGCCGCTCCTAGCCAGATCAACGAAGGGATCCTAACCATGTCAAGAAAAACGTATCAGAAGTACATTGACACACTGTTTCGACGCTTCGCTGCCACGTGTTCATCACCACCAGATGGACTGGAAACAAAGACCTTTGGACTACTAGGTGGGCACTTTATCCGGTAGGAAAGTCATTAATTCATAAAAGTTCCGTGAATAAGTTAATATATTAAATGACGTGGGTTAATTGGTCCTATCAATTCCATGAAGTATTAGCGTTTCCCTGTCGCATAGTGCGCACTCCGATAACACCAAGTGCTGACGAGACCGTGTTGCTCAAATGTCGCTCTGAGCCAGTTGAAAGCTTCACATCAGTCTGACCGTGGAATGGTAAAGCGCTGTTTTGGCACCGTCAACATGCGAAGTGTCCCGACTATGAAGTCGTAATCTTGGCTCGATGTTGTTTATGCTTAGAGATACACAAGCAGATGGTGTTTAGTACGTGAGCAACGACTAAGGGAAGCTTACTTGTTGGTTGATATAACCCCATACTTTCCCCAATCTGTGGCGGCTAAATACGATACGGTGGCTGGATAGGTCATCTACCTTGGTAGTATAACTGACACAGAGGAGTGAGATGATGTTGGAAACGACGTTAAATTTGGGAAATAGGAAGAAAATGATTAGACTTAGAGAAAGGGCAAATCCCGTTTATTAAAGAGACAACTGATGAAATTCTGAGAATGTTAGGCGATCGTCGAAGTAGTCAGTTGTGCAGACTCGAGTAACCGGGATAATGGAAACTGATGTTGATGAGGAGGAAAAAGTGAAAAAATAGGGAAACGACAGTGACCAAGGCCAGAGAACTGGGAGGTCAATATGAACCAATAAGTGGAACGTGGTCTCGTCATTAAGGAAAACGCCAAGCGCCACCATCTATACGATGAGCAGTGGAACTTGAGCCGAAAATGTGTTGTTGACTTGGAAAAAAGCAAAGTTACCCATGAGTGTAAATTGATGAGAAAGGAACAGCGATGAAGTAGAGAAAAAGTGCGACTAAAACACTGAGAAAAATCATCATGTACCGTCGTAGTGAATGGCATCCACGAGATCGATCGTAGTAGTGATTTCGAGTTTTCCGATGTGGTGTGGTTGCGAAACCAAATGCACTCTTACATTAGGTCCATAACTGTTAATCTTACGATTAACGATCACACACAGTTATTGGCTTTCCCTTGAAGCTCCACTATCTAGGTTCCCACTCCTATGAATAACCTGTAACCTATCCTATTAGTAAGGTGGCTTGGGTCAAATCATTATCAATATACACGTTAGCAAGAGGTGGAAAACACAGCTACTGTGCAGCAATATAAAGGAAAAAAAACATGCAACAGAGGTACGCCGGCTGTCTCCAGTAACGGATGGACTTCGTTCCGGAGAACCAACAGCCGGTCACTGTGTCGCAAAAAGGAGTTATATTAGGCCTAAGAAATGAGATCGTCGCTGGAGGGAGAGGGACAAAGAAACTCGCAACACAAACGCCATTGAGGCCGGCTCCTAGCCATCTCAACAAGTGTATCCAGATAACATGTTCATCGTACCCAACTAGGGAACCGAGAGCCTTCAACCGAGTCCAATTTCGAACAAAGAGCCTTCACTCCTGTCGGCCAAGTCATCGCTTGGCCACACCCTCTTCCATCCGCACCCCCGGTGAGCAAACAACGCACCTCGAGGGAGTCGGTGGGTTGGCATGCGCAACACGTAGCCCAACCATCGGAGCCTGGTTCGTGAAATCACAGTGCTGAGCGGTTCACTTGTTGACATAACTAGGAGCCGACTTCAATGGCGTTTGTGTTGTGAATTTCTTTGACCCTCCTCGTCCCGCTTAGCCTCTCCTGTAGCCGCGACCTCATTTATTAGGCATAATATAACTCATTTTTGCGACACAATAGCCGACTATTGGCTCTCCAGAACGATGTCCATTCGTTACTGGTGACTCAGCCGGCGTGCGCTGTTTCATGTTGTTCTCTTTTCTATTGTATTGCGGCACGATAGCCGAGGTGTTTTCCACCTGCAGCTAGCGGGTATAATGTATCCCGTGCCATAAACAAGGCGTCGAACAGGTTCAATGTTCACACAGTGTTCCTACCAGATTTGATCCAAGCTGCGAAGGCACCGGCGGTCAATTGTAACTTGCCTCTTTATGTCTGCCGATCTAATGGGCCAGGTTTCACAGCCGTACACGAGGGTAGAACGGTCGATTGCATTGTACACTCTGGCCTTCGAGAAGAGTGTGGTGTCGCGCCAGCGCCATAGGTGGTGAAGACTAGCAAAAGTGCTTCATGCTTTTGCTCTACGGTTTGTGACCTCGACTTGTAATCTGACGGCGCGAGTTCGAGCCCGCGTAAGGGCACACCGACCCTCGCAGTATGCTTAGCACACTGCGACCGGTGATGGTTGCGCGGGAGCGAAGCGTCGGTACTGCTTACTGACGTAGTGCTGATATCTTAGTGACCTCGTTTTCAATTCCAAAGACGCTGATACAACTGCGTAGGCAGTTGAACTTTTGAACGACTTTTAGCTGATTCCTACCGAGAGTCAGTAATAATAAATAGTGTGTCAGCTGTACGCCGTAACGGCACTACGCTGCCGCGCGACCACCACCAGTCGCGCGCGGGCTGAGTATACCGCGAGGACGCCCACCCCTACGCGGATTCGAACCGGTGACCTTATGGTGGCAAAGCAAACGTGCAGACCACTCGGCCATCGGCCGACACCGAGAGTCAGTGCAGGAGGCGGTTCCTGCCAAGCTTTAGACTTCGAGGGTGAAAAGCATAGCCCGAAACGGTTAACAGCGTGCTAATGCTTAAGTCATAAAAAATCGATAAAACACAAAGTAAAATGATTTGAAAATGATCAAAGTGAGCTGAACTGGAAATGCTATTAACAAGAGATTTAGTCATCCGATGAAAACAACGACAGTTGGAGTCAAAAAGCGGAAAGCGGAAAGGCTTCAGCAGTACGCCGGAACGCGGTGTCATGCTTTACTGCCAGCAACAACCGCCAGTATAGTAAGCGCTAGATATTTGGCAAGGCAGCTTGCATACAAGCAGGCCTGAACAGATGACCTTTGGATTACGGTTGGGTCACAGGGCAACCGGACGGTCGGAAGGCAATAGTGCCACTGACTGATTGACAGCGCAGAGTCGGACAGGATGTATCTCTACCTAAAAACTGACAGACCGCCGTCCAGAAGGAGGACCGGACCAATCTGAGCTAAGCAAGTGATAGGTGTTATATGAATTTCTCATGCACCACCCAATGGTTATAGTGAGTTTTACATGTCTAGGTTGGGAATGAGTGAATGACAAAGCCAGGAAAACAGCCGGTGGGCATACGAGAAACGTGGTTTAGGCGGTCATGTGCAGCATCACGAAAACGGCAGTTTCAATTCATGGAGATCGGAACAATGGCCTGAGTGGCCACGTTTCCGAGCAGTACCGCCCTCCATGGGTGATCAAGATGGCTTCAAGTAACAAGGATTTTTCCGATGCGCAACGAGGTTTTCGACCATTAGAGCATAAAAAACGCTACAACCGCCTAGAAAGGTAAAAAGAGTGACCATCTCAAGCGGTAGTTTGGTAAAAGAGAACCAGTAGCGCGTTGCCCTGGGCCTGTAGCACATCACATTGAGAAAAAGAAAGGCATTAACAGTACGCTGGTATGTAGTGCCGACGTTTTGCTGCCGCGCAACCACTACCAGTCGCGAGTGGGCTAAGGATGCTGCAAGAGTCGCCCGGTCCCTACGCAGCCTCGAAGCTGAGCCCTTGGATTACACAGCAGGCTTGTGCTCCCTAAGGCTACCAGATGGCTCGTCACACTGAGAAGAAAGAAAACATGCAACAAACAGAGCAGGATACTACGCCGATGTGTCCAGCAATGTTATTAGGGCTTGATTCCTATTTAAAGAAAAGGAGTACAGTCGCTAACGCCAAATCTGCCAACAAACAAAACGTCAGAAGTTACCTACAAGAAAGTATGGGACCAGTTCTAGGTGATCATTTTGATCGAGAAAATAAAGACGAAGAAAAACAACGAAGCTGTGGTGGAACATCGCCTATGGAAGAGAATCTAAGGAAATGCTTCAATTACATACAAGTTCGAATAGCCGTGATGAACAGCCTATGACGGAAAAGAAGTTCTCTGAAATGTTCTTCGATATCGGAGGCATTAATAAGTGCGATCAGATTAAATATGGGCCGCTTGCAGGTAAAAGAAAATGGCCACTGCAAATCGGCAGAAAATATAATGCCGTTACATCACAACGGGACTGGACCTTAAGGTGGTGCGATGGTTTGCGTAACTCCGTGACCCAGTGAGCCACGCTGGGCGGCACTTTCCGAGTGCTTTCAGAGCCACCC